TTGGGGGGGAGGATACAACTCTACCCACAACCTCTTGGGCAAAACTACTTGACAACAGGAATTGAGCTTAGGAATTCTTCAGCACACAACATTGAACCTGTAAGAGTCCAGAAACAGCAACTCTACCAAATGCATGAGTAGAAGAACCAACAAGGATCATGAGAGGGTTAAATGGGGGAAGAGGGTTGGAAAGCAGGGGCATGAGAATAAAGAGAGAAGGAGAAAGAGCAAAGGGATGATCTGTGAGTCCCTCCACCAAGGCCAGCCACCTACACTGCATGTGAGCTCAACCCCAATCAGCACCAAAGAGGAGCCAGCACTGATGGTTTCTCACGGCCCATGGAAGGGACCACGTAGTATAGAAGTGTTGCTGGCACTGTCACATGACCACACAGTATAGTCATTCTGGTGGCAGTGTCACGTGACCATGCAGTACGGAAGTGCTGCTGGCAGTGTCTGTCTGGCAATCCCTGGCATGGCTGCCCACATGCCAGGAGCAGAGTACTAAAGTTATGATGCCAACCGCAGATTTCCCCCAAGGGAGGGTTGGCAGGGACAACAGCGAGGGCTCGCTATCTGGCTTCTCCATGACCACAGAGCTACTTCCCATTTGTAGCCCCAGGTGGGACTAAAATCCCCACCTCCAAATGCCCAGTCCCTTGAAGCCGTGAACTTTGTCACCAGGACGTTTCTAAAACCCTGCCACAAGGGCCTGGCCCCCAGTGCTCTGTAGAGTTTAGCTGAAATAATACACCCCAGGCTCCGTCTATAGCCGCAAGAGCTCCAAAGAAGAGAGAAGCGAAACAGAGCAATCAATGTCTCCAATCAATCACACCTCCAACTAAAGCCATGTCATGCCTGAAGTAGATTGTATGACAAGTGGTATTCCTCGGAATTGTGTTATTTTTCAAAGTGCCATCACCGTAGCTCTGTCGCAGCAGCACCCTTCCCTCCCTGCTCACTGCAAACACTTCAGACTCCCATCTGTGTGACACCAGTCAAAAACCCAAGGCCAACTCCCAGCACGTGTACTTCTGCCATGGAATGACATAAGCTTCAGCTTCCTCCTGTGGGACAGCCAACTCCTCCCCAGGTTAGTTTCCGAGTCACTAAGATAACCAAGCACTTCTCATCTAATCCTCCCATTTTCAGAGAATGAGCATATCCATCCACATTCGTTAATACATAAAAAGGAGACCCAGAGAGGGCCAGGGGTCAAATGACCATGGGGTTAAGTTACAGGGCATGCAAGAGAACCCATGTCAGAAACACTCCCAGGCCCAGAGGGATAAAGTACAGTACAGTGAGTTTCAGTCTTACCAGCAAGGCCAACACTGTGGCACTGGAATCCCATATGGGAAGCAGTTCAAATCTTGGGTGCTCCACTTTCAATTCAGCTCCTTGCTATTAACCTCAGTACCACCTTCAACTACCTGGGAGACCCAGCTGAAGCTCCTGGCTCCCAGCTTAGGACAGCCATTTGGGATGTGAACCAGTGGATGAAAGCTCTCTCCCTAACTCCACCTTTATCTGAAGTCAAAGGAACTGAGAACTGGTCCAAACCCTCCTCCTCCAGCACTGGTCATCAAGAGCGTGGCAGTGGGACTCCACGGCTCCACGCCCGACAGGGCCTGCAGGCTCTGAGCCACGACAGCCTGGGAGACGTTTGCAGCTATGCTGATCCGAGACCATCACAGGGAGACTGTCATTTTCCAATTGGCACTGGAGACAAAACTGGTCTAGACTAGGACAGGTGAAAATAGAAGCTCGGGTGTACTTCACCTCTCCACAGCCCATTTTCCTTTGGAGCATGTTCAAGTGGTCTCAGGTCCCTGGGATGTAGGTACCAGATCTTTCCATTGCCCATTGGCCTCAGGGTCTTTGGGCTCCTTCCCTGACAAGGTCTGTCTCCATAGACATTATCAGGCACAGCCTACACTGCACTCGTAATGGAGTTTCCAGTTTTGCTTAATCAATTTAGAACTTCTACCAGCAGGTGCTGGCTTGCGTATTCACTTATAGGTGATTAGAATTATAGCCCAGGGTCAAGAGAGCTTGAATATTCCTCAGGCCAAGGTAGCCTTACCTCAGGTTCAGTTCTAACATGCTAGTCTCTTGGGATTACTATAAATAGTGCATGTTCCTCTAGGGCCTGGGAAATAACTGTCTAGGAATACTCACTCAAAAGAACACAAAATGCAGGTTCAGACACATGAAGGAATTTTAAGTCTTAAAAAAAGGGAATTCTGACCAATGTTACCACAGGGACAAACCATGAGGACGTTGTGCCGAGTGAAACGAGGCAGTTGAAAAGACAAATACTGTGTGAGTAGTCAGGATCCCAAAGTGAGGAGACGGCTGCCTGGGCCAGAGCTTCGGCCATGCCGAATGCAAAGAGCCCTAGAGGCAGGTGTTGGTGTTGCTGTAGCTCCAGGAATGAACTCATCACACTGAACGGTACACTTCAACGAGCTTAGTACAGTAAACCTGTATCTTCTAGCTGAGAAGAGGAACAGCCTGGACAGTAAGCTCCCAGCCTGTGGTGTGAGCAGTGTACCATCAGAGCCAAAAGCAGTAGAGGATGGATGGTTCCTGCACCCATGTGGGAGACAAGGGGGAAGCTCCTGGCTCCTGGCTTTGGATCGACTCAGCTCTGGCCTTTGAGGCCCCTTGGGGAGCAAACCTGTAGGCAGAGGATCATTTTTTTCTGTAAATCTACCTTACCAATTAAAAAATCTTTAAAATAAAAAATAAAACAATAATGGGACTTGCAGTTATCAGGCAGCAGCAGGAATAGCAAGGTGTCCCACCACCAAACAGCGCCCCCCTGTGGTCACAGCTTCCAGCCCAGGGAAGACACAGCTCCTGGACAGCAGCAATTCCTTTTCCACTTGCCCAGGATCACTTTCACCATCCGGCTATAACCTGAACATGAGGGGGAAGCCCCATCAGTGACTAAGCTCTTTAGTTCCTCCCAAATGAAATCAAGACTTCTTTCTTGCATTTAGAAACCATGAAGCTAGGGCCCAGCGCAGTGGCACAGTGCTTAAGGTCCTCACCTTACACGCCCAGGATCCCATATGGGCGCAGGTTCAAGTCCCGGCAGCCTCGCTTCCCATCCAGCTCCCTGCCTGTGGCCCGGGAAAGCAGTCGAGGACGGCCCAAAGCTTTGGGACCCTGCACCCACGTGGGAGACCCGGAAGAGGCTCCTGGCTTTGGATTGGCTCAGCTCCAGCCGTTGCGGCCACCTGGGGAGTGAATCATCGGATGGATGATCTTCCTCTCTGTCTCTCCTCTCTGTATATCCGCCTTTCCAATAAAAATAAAATAAATCTTAAAAAAAAGAAACCATAAAGCTATTTATCTGTTCCCTACACTAAGCAATCTGCAAGATCTAACGACACCAGTTTTCTGTCGTTTTTTTCCCAATAAAGTATCCTTCATCGAGAGTCGTAAGGACACACTTCCTCATACAATGCTCTAGCAAATCTAGACCTCTATTCTCATGGTTTAAATCTCTGTGGGCCTGGCGCAGTAGCCTAGCGCTTAATGTCCTATATGGGCACAGAGTCTAATCCCGACGGGCCTGCTTCCCATCCAGCTCCACGCTTGTGGCCTGGGAGGGCAACGGAGGATGGCCCAAAGCCTTGGGACCCTGCACCTGTATGGGAGACCTGGAGGAGGCGCTGGGCTCCTGGCTTATGATCAGCACGGCTAGAGCTTGCGGCCACTTGGCGAGCAAGTCAATGATGGAAGATCTTCCTCTCTCTCTCCTCCTCTCTGTATATCTATCTTTCCAATAAAAAGTTTTTAAAAATAAATCTTTAAAAAGAAAAATGACACTGTGATCCTCAAGCAACTTCATAGCAAGAAATTTAATAAACATTTATGAAACTACTTGTGTTCAAAGAACTGTCCTTAAATTGGACATTGCTTTGTGATTCTGCACTTCCTAGAAGTCCTGGACTCAGCAGAAGTTCTATCCGGGAGTCCAGGGCCCCTGGAACATGCTGCCAGCTTTGTGTGGTTCTTGGTACTGCCCTACCAGAAGCTGAATGTCTTTACCCTGGATGGCCACATAATGCAAATAAAACCTCAAAAAGCTTGCACTAGGGGCTGGAATTCTATCAACTCAGGGCAGAATTGCTAGTATTTTACCCAAATTAAAACTTTCAAAATCCAGTCTCTGAGAGTAAAAACTTTCAAATTAAATTCTACTCCTAGACTAGGAGAAGGGTGCTAGCTAGGTTACAACACCAGGTAAGGTAATGGCCCCCTGCAGCCGGGCAGGAGAGCTCACCTGCTGGCTCTAGCTGCCGATTCCAGCTTCCCACAGTGCAGACCATGGGAGGCGCTGTTGGTTCAAGCAGCTGGGCCCTGCCACCAATTTGGAGAACTGGACAGCAAGTCCAAATCATAGTTCTGGGCGGCTTCCAGAATTGCCCAGGCCCAATCAGTGCAGGCAGCAGGGGAGTGAGCCAGCAGATGGCAGCTCTCTGCTGTGCGTGCGTGCGTGTATGTGTGTGTGTGTGTGTGTATGTGCGCGCGCACACACACACATATCCACGTGCCTCTGTCTCAGGAATTAAGATTTTTTTTTCCAAAGGAGAGAAAGAAGCAACAAAGTATTATCTATGGTTTCAAAGACAAAGAACAGAATGCACAAACTCTTCATCCAAGATTCTAGCTTTTGATTTCTTTGCTTGTTCCTCCCCTGGGTACCAGCTATCGCTGAACACAGATACGCCTGGGGAAATCACAGAAGCATTCCCTTGAAAACCACAGAGTATCCAAAATGACAATCACCAGGACAGAAATATCTTGAAGAAAATCCATGGCCAACAAGCTTACCTTGAACTTGAATGGCTCATGGCATCACGGTTTGTCAATTAAGCAGAGCACACCATCACAAGACACGTTTTGTACAAATTTACTTGTAACTCTAAAAGCAGCAAGGCCCAGAGCCCAGGGACTGAGGAATCTGCAATTAAGACTTGGTATAAACGAATTAAAAAGTTTATTAGTTGTAGAAAAAAAACAGATTCTTCAACATTAATTCGTATACTCCCTGTAAAACAATAAGCTTACAGAAACTTTCTCGTGCACAGAAAAATCATTATATTTTTGGTCCAAGATCTGCTGGGTTGTTTTTTTCTTCGGATGACGGATGAGTATAGCTGAGTCTATGAACGAGTGTACTTGCCCCAAATGTGCAACATGAACACAGAAGCGATGAACAGAAGGCTCATAACCAGCACAGGAACGGGGCCACTGGAAACAAGGAGAGAGGCATGTTTACTTGGTAAGGGCACAGGAGCACATGTGTCCTAGTGAAGTCTGCCAGGGAAAGCAGGGAATCACCTGGAACAGCATTTAAAACATTTTAAAATCCTCCTCAGCCATGACTGTGGCTAACTAGAGGGTGGCACAGTGGTTCAGAAAGGAATCCTTATCTTTCAGTAAAACGGAAATGAGCACAAAGAAAATAATGTCTCCTCTGACCCACCTCTCTAGTTTCATGTATTTGATACTTGCCCAAAACGAAGAAACATCTCCCAAACTCTTCAAGTGCACATGATCCAATCAGCAGATGTCCCCTCCCCTCAGAGGGACACCTACTAAAGACAACCTCACGGAATTTACGAAGTATTCTCCCATGAGAATTTCTGCTCCCACGAGATTTCTTCACCAAGCACTGACTCCAAGACAAACCCAAGGAAAACTATGGCACAGAGGTCACCAACCACAGCTACACGGGAGACACTGGAACTCAGGCTTTCCAACTCCACACACTATGCTCATCAGCCTGCCACTGGGTCCCCAGCTCCAAAGCGTAAAGGCAGCGGCTGATTTTATCATCAGCCTTTCCCTGGGCAGGGCTTCTCTGCGTTGAGTCAGTCAGTGTAGGAGCTGCTGTAAGAGGGAGCTCCTGACTTCACACCTGGGGATGACACCGCGGGGCCCGCCTCGCTGATGCTTCCTGCCCAGACATCTCATGCCTCACATAACCTCCCAGGTACAAGCAGAGAGCGAAGACTGCAAGAACCACAGGGAAGGATCTTCACAGGCCCCAAGGCAGCTAAAGCTACCCCAGGGGTCCCTGTCTTCCACGTGGAAGACCTGGATGAAGTGCCTGGCTCCAGAATTTAGTCTAGCTCAAGTGAAAAAGCACATGGACAGACCTCTGTCTCTCTCTGTAACCTTGACTTTCAATTTAATAAGTAAGACGTTAAAAACCAAAACATAAACAAGAGGCACATCTCCCATCTCACAGGATGGCTGGGCAGGGCCAAGCCGACTAGGAAACAGGTGTTGGAAGTCCAATGCAAATCACCTTGCACTACACCAATGAGGGCGGTGCTGCCCCAACTCACCCTCCAGGTCCTGCAGGCAGGAGCTGTGAGCAGTGGCACCCTGGGGCCTACCACAGAGAACCAGAAAGCCCAGGGCACAGGGATGGGGTGTCCCAGGTGCCCACTTCCCATCACCCTGGGAGTTCCCCCAGGCCCAGGTCCTGCCAAGTGTCAGATCACCCTTCCAGTTCTACTTGCTGCTGGCTGCAGACCAGGAGGCGGCCGGGACCTCCGGTTCCTCAGACTAAACAAAACCTTCCGCCAGGCCGGTCGCTATCAGCCACCGCCTTTAGGAGAGCTCAGAGAAGCCACAGCACTCCTGCTCAGATGGACACTCCTCTTTCTCAGTGCAGGGCAACACCTGACCAAGAGCAAGGCCCTCTCACTGGGCGCGTTCCCTGCAGACTCCTCTGTTCCTCATACTGAGACACAGCCATGTGGAGACCTTCCCTCTCCTCTTCACTCCCGCCATGAAGAGATGTCATCTGGGCCCTAAATTCTCTAACACATTGATCAGCGGGCAAACCCACGCAGGCCCTCAGGACACTCGAGAAGCTTCCACGTGCTGAAGCTTTCAGCTTCTCACTGAAGTGAGCACCACAGGGGCAGAGGCAGCACTGGGTTATTCTGCTGACCTGGGGCAGCCCAGTCACTGCCAAGACTTACACTTTGAGCCCGGGGGAGTCTTCGGTGTAGAACCGCCACATGCCCCCGGTGCCCGCCGAGGTTGTGCGGCCAGCGCTCCTTGTCCCACAGCTAGCATTTTTCCTGTTGGAGAGGACAAAGTTACTGAGAGCCTGTCACGGTATCGCAATATGCTTTAAGCATAGCATATGCTTAAAGCGGCGCCCAAGAGTTTGTGAGCCAAACTTCTTGGCTGCCGCTCACTCCTGTAAACCAGGACCCCCAGGGGCTGAGCCCCAGCACCCACTCAGGTACAGAGCAACCCTGCACAGTTGTCACTGTAACCATGTTACAAACAAGGAACAAGTTCAGCAGGGGCTAGGCTGTGTCTAAGATGGCACAGCAGGCTGGGGCCAAGCTGGGAGGCAGTCAGTGCTGACCGGGAGCCTAGCCACACTGGTTCACATCAGCCATACCACGCCAGTCCACACCAGCCACGCCAGTCCACAGCAACCACGCCAGCCCACAGCAACCACGCCAGCCCACAGCAACCAGCCCAGGCCACACCAGCTACCCTTCCCCGGGACAGTGCATCCACATGCCTCTCCAGGTGAAGTCAAGTACTGAACTCATTTAATGCCCCAAATCCATACCACCTGGTCTTAAAACAACAACTTTGAAAGGCATGCTGGGAAATGACAGGATTCACAGCAAGAGACAAAGAGCAGGATGCCTCTTCTACTGGGGTCCTGCAGATCAGAGCGTATGTGTTAGGAAAACTCGCTCTGAAATCCTGACAGCAACACGTGAACAAGGCACTCCGGCACACAGGTGGCAGGCCAGCACTTCCTCTGCTGCCTAGGGTCAGACAGGTTATTTACCCATGGGGAAAGGTTCCCTCTTTGTTCATCAGCAGGAGGCTGAGCCAGAAGCCCCATGTGGACAGGGCAAGCCAAGTGCTCAGCCAGGACAGCACTCAAGCACTTTCCACTGTTGCCACAAACCCCCAGCTCCATCTACTGCCTTGGTCTCCTAGAACCACAGGAGCCCAGCACAGCCTTTCTAAGACCTCTCACATTGGGTGACATTGTGACACTGCACAGCACTTGGAAACCAGGGCCCAGGAACACCAAGGCTCCTTTAAAAAGCCCCTCTTCCTCACTGAGCAGCGGCGCAGGGTTCCCAGCACAGCCCACTTCTGGAACCTCTTACATCTCTCTAGGGTCCACAGAACCCTTTCTGTCTGGCGACTGCGCACCTGCCTCCCTTGTCCCTGCCCTAGCACGGCCACGGTTTTCACAACACCTTGTCTGGCTGTTCCTCACCAAGTCCAGTACCCTTTTACCATGCCATTGTGCCTGGGAAACCCATTCCTCTCTGGGCCCTTGCTTACTGAGGTCCCTACTCAAAGACCATCTGCTCTGAACAGCCCACCTAAACAACTACCCCACTCTGCCCTAACCTCTGCAATGTCTGGACGTTCAGGTTTATTTTCTTTTCCACAGCCCTTACAAGTTCTACTATTTATTTGCTTTGTTTCTGGTCTGCCCCCACTGGGGAGGCTAGAATCTGTTCACAGATTAATCCTCTGAGCTGAAACAGCACGTGGCATGCCACAGGGCTCCAAGAATGATTTATCGACGATCTAACATCCCCGTCTCCCACTAGCCCTGCATGAACGCTGCGGCTCAGCCCGTTTCCCTGGCTTTACTGCTCCTGCCATCCTCACAACTTCCCTTTGTGATGCACAAAGCATGCCAAGACGCTAACCCAGACCTACCTTCAATCCTACACCATCTGCCATGAGCACCCCGAGCGCGGGGAGTGCAAACCTGCAGACCATACACGGACAGCTGTCTAAGTGGCCACAAGCATCCAATTCTTCCTCCAACATTCCCAAAGCATAGATATCCTCTTTGCACATACTCACAATATTACAATAAATACTTGATTCGTGCTAAGAGTCTACAAGGGATGCCCCTGGGGTCTCCCCATGGACATGACCATGGTCTGCCTAGGGACACTGGCCTCACCACACTGAACCCTAAGCAATGACACCAAAATTCTCCATTTCAAACACTGGACAAGGACTATTGCATTTTTATTCAATTTGATTATTATATTGATATTCAACAAATACCTACTTCTCTCTTTAGAAATGCTCAGATTGAAGCAGGCATTTGGCCAAGCCAAATGTTCATAGCTGAGATCCTAGTCCAACTTCCCTCTGATGCAGACTCTGGGAGGCCGGAGGTGATGGGTCAAGTCAACCCATCTCTGCCACACCCATCCACACGGGAGACCCGGGCTGCGTTCCAGCTCCCAGCTCTGGTGCTGCCTGCCGCAGGTATGTGGGGAATAAACCAGCAGATGGAAGCCCTTGTTGACTCCTTAAAGAATAAACTTTAAAAGCCTAAAAATAAATCCTTGGATGCCCCAAGCTCGGTGCCTCAGTACTCCCTCTTGTTGCTAACCAAGCCTCTTCCTCAGGACAGGCTTTCCATTCCGGCCCAGAGAATCCTGGACCCCTAAGTGTGGGGGCAGGAGATTCCCAACTGTTCCCAGTCATCTTCCTGTTTTGGCCAGGCTTTCTTGACTCTGAGCTGAAATGCTTTACCCAGGTTCAAATCCCTGTTTTTCTACTCTTTCACAAGGGCCCAGGCAGGCTGACACTGTGGCATGGCACATTAAATGTGCACCTGCAGTGGCTGCTGTCCTGGCTGTCCCACTTCTAGCTCCCTGCTTCTAGCCTGTGAAAGCAGCAAAGGAAAGCCCAAAACCTTGAGCCTTGCACCCACTAGGGAGACCCAGAAAAGCTCCTACCTCCTAGCTTCAGACTGGCTCAGTTCCAGCACTCCAACCGTTGCAGTCATTTGGGGAGTGAGCCAGCGGATGGAAGATCTCTCTGTCTCTCTCTCTTTGTAAATCTACCTTTCAAATAAAAAGAAATCTCTACCCAAAAAAAATTAAATTAAAAGATTCCCAAGGCAACAGACTGCCTTGGTTCCTTCTCATCTGTTGCACCGGAACTTAACGGTGAGAGATGGGGCAAGGGACCACGTAGGCAACCTCTCCAACAAACTCTATCAGAACAATGTGGCACAAATAAGATGCTACCGCAGCACAGCAGGCGGCCAGCAGCTCCCACTGCCTGGCTGGCAACAGGCCTCAGGGGCAAACCACCCCAGCCAGCGGCCCTGGTGGCTCCTGCAAGTCCTGGTAAGTTCAGCAGTGCTGGTTCTCAGGGGCCAGGGAGGAGGGAGGCTGGATACCCGTCTCCTCTGCCCTTCTTAAACAACACGCAGAAACCAACAGTAAGTGAGCAGAGGGAAACGCATTGAGATGGAAACGCCAGAGGTGCATTAAGGAACGAGGGCCTAGAGTAGACCCGCGGACCGCTACCTCGGGGCGGCAGAAGCGGAGGAAGGAACGGGAGGCTTTCCAGCAGGATGTGAATTCCGGCATAGGACGGCGTGGAACCTCTTGTGTTTTGGTCATGGGGTGTACATTAGAACCTCACCCAAGGAAGCAGGCGTCGCTGGGGACGCCCAGACGCACACGCCTAGGCCAGGCTCCGGTGCAGACACACCGGCTTAAACACGGCTGACCCCACTCCGCAGATGGCCGCCTCCCGACCACAGGGCTGCAATCACTGCCGCCCCACCCGTCCCTGGTGTTTACCGGACCCTCCACGCCGAATCGGCTGCAAGGGCCTCACCTCTGCCGAACCGTCGATCCCGCCGCACGGGCGGCCACTGCCTTGCTGGGGGACCGTCCCGACGAGCCCACGTTCGTGCCGCTGGGGGTCGGACCCGGCTGTAAGGAAAGATAGACAAGTGAGCGCCCGGAGCCAGACCCGGGCCCCCAGCTCCGACAGGGAGGAGAACACGGGAGCTGGGGGCGAGGGCCGGGCCTAAGGCGGGCCCGGGAGAGGCGGGCCGGGCGGCGGGGGTCGCGGTACCATGCTGGACACTGGAGGGGAGCCGGACGTCAAGCGCAGCACCTGCCGGAGGAGAGACTGGCACAGGCCCCGCCCCTGGGCCGCCTGGCAGGGGTCCTCGCCGGCACCAGGGACGCCTGGGCTGTCCTAGGATATGCCTGCAGACATTCTACTCCACAGGACTTGATTAGCCACAGACCTGAAGTTAAAGAGCTTCTGTTTCCCTCCAGTTGACGGCACCTTCCTTTCCAAGTCCAGGTTCCTACACCAGGGAGGTGATAAGTCAAAATCAGACGAGAAATTTCCTCCGGCTGTTCTTAGGCGCCCCCAGCTTTGCGCTGATGTGGCCTCACAGTTTCGTCCACGCGGCAGGGCCGCTCAAGGACCCCTGCGCGGGAGGGCGGAGCTTGCACGGAGGCCCCGCCTCCCGGGCCCGGGGCGCCGGCCAGGTTGGCCCGGTCATGGCGGAGGAGCGGCGGCCGCCCGGGGGCCCCGGAGCCGCGCCGTCCGTGCTGTTCCTGCACCCGGACCTGGGCGTGGGCGGCGCCGAGCGGCTGGTGCTGGATGCGGCGCTGGCTCTGCAGGCCCGCGGCTGCCGTGTGAGTCTCTGGACGGCGCACTATGACCCGGGCCACTGCTTCGCCGAGAGCCGCGAGCTGCCGGTGCGCTGCGCCGGGGACTGGCTGCCGCGCAGCCTGGGCTGGGGCGGCCGCGGCGCCGCCCTGTGCGCCTACATGCGCATGGTCTTCCTGGCGCTCTACGTGCTTTTCCTCGCCGACGAGGAGTTCGACGTGGTGGTGTGCGACCAGGTGAGGAGGCGTGGGGTGGCGGAGGGCAGCAGCACGCTGGCGGCCCGCGGAGTGTCTCCATCTGGGGACCTGCCCTTCCTCCGGGTCGCTCGGGGAAGGGAAGGGTGACGCCCGTGCGCCTGGGAACCCGCCCTGGGACAGGCTGGAGTGCAGTCAGCCTCAAGCACCTGTAACAGGTGGACAGCTAGCGCGTGGAGGCCCCTCCTCGCCATCGTCTCTGTGGGATCCACCTCCGGGTCTCGTCCCCTCTGCCATGTCAGAGTGATGACACCCAGCAGGACACCTCGTTCCCCAACGCCGCGTCACCTTGGCTCTCTGTGGGTTTAGGGAGAATTCCTAGGTCACTTTAGCAAAGGATGTCCACCTGCTGTCCCATTTTTCTAAGGCATTTTAAAATGTGCTTCCTCCTCCGTTAATTTATTTTTTAAAGCAGTAGACTGGGGTCTTTGTCGGATACAGTGTATAAAGCCCGCCTCCTGAAATAACCCCTGCTAAGCTTTTCCTGTATCCTGCCACAAGTTGTCTGTGGCCGCACCAGCTTATGTATGTGTATATGTACTAGTCACATTTCCTTATTTGTAAATAGCAGGGGCGGTGACATGCCAGCACTTGGCTGTCTTCATCAGAGATTTCTCCTGGAAAATTCTAATCTGTCAATTTTACAGACCACTTTTACTCTTTGTCATGGATTGTTTGTGGTACCCATTTGTCTCATGCAATCAGATTGGCCATCCTTTACCTTGGTTTTTAAAGTTGAGCTTCTGCAAGCATGTCTTGAGTAGATTCCTAGAAATAAAATTGGTAAGTCGAAAAGCAGTTCCTTTTTTTTCCCTAAGATTTATTTATTTTTATTGGAAAAATCAGATATACAGAGAAGGAAAGACAGAGAGGAAGATCTTCCGTCCACTGGTTGACTGCCCAAGCGGCCACAATGGATGGAACTGTGCTGATACAAAGTCAGGAGCCAGGAGCTTCTTCTGGGTCTCCCACACGGGTGCACGGTCCCAAGGCGTTGGGTCATACTCTACTGCTTTCCCAGGCCACAAGCAGGGAACTAGAAGGGAATTGGAGCAGCCAGGTTACAAACTGGTGCATGCAGGACAAGACCTTTAACCACTAGGCTACTACACCAACCCCAAGCCGTTCATTTTAAACCTCAGTTTATTTATTTAAAGTCAGAGTTACAAAGAGAGATCTTCCATCCACTGGTTCACACCCAGATGGCTGCAACAGCAAGGGCAGGGCCAGGCTGAAGCCAGGAGCTTCCTCTGGGATTGCCAAGTCAGGGGCCCAAACACTTGTTCCATCTTCTGCTGCTTTTCCTGGGCATATTAACAGGGAGCTGGATTGGAAGTGGAGCAGCTGGCACTTGAGCTGGTGTGTCGCGCCCACGTTTCTTATCGTCCGGCGATAAGAGGCAGACGCGAGTGAAGTCTTCTGCGATAATCTTTATTGCGCGCACCAAGATGAGGAAGGAAAGGCTCCGACCCTGGCAGGTTGTCTGCTCTTATGTGCTGACTGGCCCCGCCTCCGCCGATGATAGGTCGGCGTCACGATCACGCAGGGTCCTGGGCGACTGGATTCGTCAGTCCCAGTGTTCATGCGCCGGCCACGCCTCAGCTCACTGCGTGAAAGCTACATAACTCTCCATCAGGAACCAAGGTGTGGCTTTTCCGGCCGGCGCCATTTTGGGTACGGCATGTGGCCAGTACATACAGATGCGGCTGGCAACACTGGTGCCCAAGTAGGATGCCAGTGCTGCAGAAAGCAGCTTTACCAGCCATGCCATAGTGCTGGCCCGGAAGCCCTTTCTGGACAAGTGTAACACTTACAAGCATGCTGTCTGTGTCACAATGCAGGAGGCAGCTGAGACTGTGGTAAGTAGAAAAAAAATTCTAGGTTCAGAAGCAGGAGACCTGACTTGGGTTCTGTGTGTGTTGCTTCACTAAATGCCTTCGGATGGATTGCACGGGGTTCCTAAAGCTCACCTGCCCCGGGTGTTAAGTTAGGGATTAACTGACTTTGTAAAGACTGCCCAACAGGAAAGTCGGTAACAAAAGCGGCATCTACTGCATGTTGGGGAATGGCTGTGAGCACAGACTGTATGCTAACCGCTAGCATTTTATATATTCCAGTGCATTGTCAATCACAGAATTTTCAGAGGTCTTGCGCTACAGTTGTCCCGGTGTGGGAGATGACTTGATTGCAGTCAGGTTGCTGAGCGGATTCCAGCCTGACCGTCTGCAGTGACAGAGGCTGGGACGTAAACTCCTGCAGTTCCTCCCTTCAGATCCTTGGCAGGAGTGTGACCTAGAGCCCCCCTGTCAGTGTGGCAGGCACCAGCCGTACATGGCAAGCAGGCACGCGGAAAGATAAGCCACAGTATAAAATACCGTTGACAGCTTAAGCATTGGGGATAAAGGATCTCACTATTTAGGATAAATAAAATATATTAAAATTATTCACCTTTCAAAAAGCTTTCTAGCACTTTTAGGTTTTTATTTGCTTTCTGTTAAAAATTTTGTTCCAGAGGAAGCCACTAGCCTTGAAGCTTTCCATGGGTCACACTTGACTAGCAGGCAAGCACAGAGCAGACGGGGCCTGGCCCGTGAGGAGCTGTGGCCAGGCAGCCATCCTTAGGTTTGTGCTCTGGCTTCAAAGCTGAGTTGGACAGTCACCTAACCCCATGTTGACCTCTGCTCTGACCAGGTGTCTGCCTGCATCCCGGTGTTCAAGCTGGCCAGGCGGCCCAAGAAGGTGCTGTTCTACTGTCACTTCCCAGACCTGCTGCTCACCAGGAGGGACTCCCTCCTCAAGCGGCTCTACCGAGCCCCGATCAACTGGCTGGAGGAGTACACCACGGGCCTGGCCGACCGCATCCTGGTCAACAGCCGCTTCACGGCTTCCGTCTTCAAGGACACCTTCAAGTCCCTGTCCCACATAGACCCCGATGTCCTCTACCCGTCTCTGAATGTCGCCGCCTTCGACTCAGTCATCCCCGACAAACTGGACGACCTGGTCCCCGCGGGGAAAAAGTTCCTGTTCCTCTCCATCAACAGATATGAGAGGAAGAAGAATCTGGCCCTGGCGCTGGAAGCCCTGGTCCAGCTGCGCAGCAGGCTGCCCTCGCAGGACTGGGAGAGGGTGCACCTGATTGTGGCAGGTGGCTATGACGAGCGAGTCCTGGAGAATGTGGAGCACTACCAGGAACTGCAGCGCCTGGTCCAGCAGGCAGACCTTGGCCAGTCCGTGACCTTCCTGCGCTCTTTCTCAGACAGACAGAAGATCTCCCTACTGCACGGCTGCACGTGCGTGCTCTACACGCCAAGCCACGAGCACTTCGGCATCGTCCCCCTGGAGGCCATGTACATGCGGTGCCCGGTGGTGGCCGTCAACTCGGGCGGCCCCTTAGAATCAGTGGTTCACAGCGTCACGGGCTTTCTGTGCGAGCCTGACCCCGTGCACTTCTCAGAGGCCATTGAGAAGTTCATCCATGAACCTTCTTTAAAAGCCACGATGGGCCAAGCTGGCAGGGCCAGGGTGAAGGAGAAGTTCTCCCCCGAGGCTTTCACTGAGCAGCTGTACCAGTATGTCACCAAACTGCTGGTATAGCCGGGCGTCTGAAGTTAACAGGGGTCGCAGATCTAGCTTGGGACCCCAAAACAAATGAACCTGCAGTCCAGTGCAGACATTTTTATTTTAGAGCTAAACTTGAATCTTGGAAGCCAGCCACGTTTCTGCAGACCACACATCTCTGCTTTTTGAAAAAATGGTTATCTTTTGTTATAATCATTCTGAATCTTACCCGTGTTAAAATATGATACAATTCCACTTTCAGTAGAATGTTTAATTTTCTCTGCATTGTAGCTGCCTATGCATTTTGAATCTTGTGCCTTAGTTTGCTTTGGTAATTTAAATGGGTTGTTATCAAAGTGGATTTGTTTAACTTCATGGCATAATGAGGGCAGGGTTCCCTACATAAGCACGCTGTCATCCGTTGGTTTTTTTGGTTAGTCCTGCCTTCACCAGGATGCGTGGCAAGAGTGCCCTGTTGCTGTTTTTTATAAACTTGATTTACTGTGTTTTTACACATTGGGACATGAAAATAGAAGAGTCTGTTATGGGTATTAACAATAAAACAGAGAAGTTTTGGCCTCTGTGATCCATTCTGATACTTATTGAAGATACCTAATCCTGGGGCCACTGCTGTGGTACTGCAGTTTAAGCCTCCACTTGTGACACCAACATCCCACTTGGGCACTGCTCAGCTTTTAAGTCCCAAATGCTCCAATTCTGATCCAGCTTCCTGCCAGTGCACCTGGGAAAGATGTGAAAGATGGCTTGAATGCTTGGGCCCCTGCATTCCCGTGGGAAACCCAGCATAAGGCCATTGGGGATTAAACCAGCAGATGAAAGATCGCTGTAACTCTACCTTTCAAGTAAATAAAAGTAAGTCTTAGGGGAAAAAAAGGTAACCAAATCTGAAGTCAGAAAGCAATGTTGGCATAAGAAGGGAATATTGTCACATATGGAGTGTACATATTGTTGAGAGTGGTTTTTTGTTTTGTGTTGTTTCAGTGAAACAGAGCTTCAGTCCACTGACCTAAATACTCATGACAACCAAAACTGAACAAATGGGTGAAGCCAAAATCAGGAGTTCAGAATACAACCCTGTATGGGAAGCATAGACACAACTTTTTTTCTGAAATTTTTTAAAGATTGATTTATTTACTTTGAAAGAGTTACTAAGAGAGTGCAAGAGAAATCTTCAACAGGTTCACTGCCCATATGGTCACAGTGACCGATGCTCAGCCAGGCTGAAGACAGAACTCCATCCTGGTCTCCCACATGGGTGGCAAGGGCCTAAACATTAGATCACCTTCCACTGCTTTTCCCAGGCCTTTAGCAGGGAGTTGGATGGGAAATGGAGCAACCAAGTCTCAAAGCAGCGTCTTCGTGGTATGCCAACATCATAGGCAGAAGCTTTCCCTGACATGCCGCAGCACTGGCCTGTAGACCCAGCTCATGAGCCATCAGCACTGCTTCCCAGGAGCTGCGTGGTAGCTGGAATGAGGAGCCAGAGCCAGGCACGGAACCTGAGCTCTCCGGCACAGGAAGAGGTCGTCCCAACACTGGGTCAGAGGACATGCCTGTGCCCTCAGCGTGTTCTCTCTGCGTGCTGTGTGTACTGAGCATTTGTTGTGTTACTGAGGGCGTGCTGTGTGTACTGAATACATACTGTGTATGCTGAGTGTGTGCTGAGCACATACTATGTGTCCTGTGTGTAGTGAGTGTATTGAGTGTGTGCTGTGTATACTGTGTGCTGTATTATATGTACTGAGCACATACTATATCGAGTGTGTACTGAGTGCTGCTGTAGTACTGTGCTGGGTGTACTGAGCGTGTACTGAGCGTGTACTTTGTGTTGAGCGTGTGCTGTGTGTAGTTAGTGTGTGGTCTGTGTACTGGGCATGTACTGTGTGTACTCTGGTCCTGGCTCAGCCTCTGCCGCGGTGAAGCTTGTCTTGAGCCTCTCCTCACCTATCGGGCATCATCTCTCCACACACTAGTCCTTGCTAGGCCCCGGTCAGTCCTGCGTCTTTGTTTCCTCCTGTTCTAAGTGTGAGTATTGAACTGAAAGCAATTATCGATATACCCTAAAAGCTAAATTTGTTTTTTAAAAAATAGGAGAGGTTATTAGCCATAGGCTCTGCATGAATGAATCCTGAGAACACAGATTTGGGAAATGCCCACGAGCTTTGGGTGCAATAATCTCTGCTTCCACTCTTTCTGTCACGTGGGCTGTGCCCTTGCCTCCTGGGATGGTTGGTGGGTTGATCATGTATGTGAAGTGCTTACAAATAGCACTTGGCAAGTGGAATATAAATGCAGTTGGGCCAGCGTGGTGGCTCCACAGGCAATCCTCTGCCTGAAGCGTCAGCATTCCATGTGGGTTCTGGTTCAAGTCTTGGCTGCTGTGCTTCCCATTCTGACCTGGGAAAGCAGTGGAGCTGGATGGCTCAAGCCCTTGGGTCCTTGTGTGCATGTGTGAAACCCAGAAGAAGCTCCTGGCTCTTGGCTTCAGATCAGCTCAGCTTCAGACGTTGCAGCCATTTAAGGAGTGAACAAGCAAATAGAAGGTATCTTTCCTTCTCTCAGTAAATCTGCCTTTCGAATAAAAATAATTTTTAAATTTTTTTTTATTTTTTTTTTATTGGAAAGGCGGATATACAGAGAGAAGGAGAGACAGAGAGGAAGGTCTTCCATCCACTGATTTACTCCCCAAGTGGCGTCAATGGTCAGAGCTGAGTCAATTCAAAGCCAGGAGCCAGGAGCCTCCTTCAGGTCTCCCATGTAGGTGCAGGGTCCCAAGGCTTTGGGCCGTCCTGGACTGCTTTTCCAGGCCACAAGCAGGGAGCTGGATGGGAAGTGAGGCAACTAGGATATGCCCATATGAGATCCTGGTGCGTGTAAGGCAAGAATGTTAGCCAATAGGCTACCGCTCTGGGCCCTCAGTTGATAACATCTTATGTACATCCAGGTCACAGTAGTGATTTTAAGAAAAAACAAACAAAAAAGAACTGCCCCCAAGAGGACTGTCAGATTTTCCATCTTTGGCAGCATGAGAAGCTGGGTTGCATTGTTTGCCTCATTGCTGCAAAGGACTACCCTCCTGGGCAGCATGTCATGTCTGTTTTGTGGCTTGGTGCCTGTTTTTCTGGGAGCTGCAGCCTTTCCAGAAGAGTGCAGTGGTCCTGACAGCTGAATGTAGGCCAGACAGCATCAGTCACGCTGTGGTCCGTAACAGCTGCTTGCCCACTCCAAGCACTTTGAGGCAAATTCTTGTAGAATGCTGTGCATGGGTTCACACGCCTTTAGTGCTGCTCGTTGTCCTGAGTCCCGGTGAGAAACAGACCTCTCAGGTCCCAGAGGGATGCCAAGCCTGACCTGCCGTGACCTTCCAGCTCCCCACATGCTCACTCCTCACCCCTGGACCTCCAGTGGAGCCCTGTCTGTGGGAGGCACTCAGCTTCCAAAGCTAAGATGGAGTAGGCATCCAAGAGACATAGGGTGACGTGGGTGAATGGTCGGGAACCTTATCTAAAGGCATTCCAACACAGCATCCTCCCTTCTCATTGCGTCTGCTCAACTGGTAAGATAGAATGTTACATTCACCAGTGACAGTCACCACAAAGTTTTATTATAAATGAGAGGCAAGGCAACCAATTGACTGGCTGACTGGCCAGCTGGGACCAACAGCCCATACCAGAGTGCGGCCCCAAACCGCACATTCACAGAGTTTTTATAGGGGCAGTTTACAATAGCTTATACGGTGAGGGAGGTAAGACCGCACATTCCTTGTTTATCTCAGCTGGGCTGCCCCTGTCTGCCTCTTTTCAGGTCTGGACTCCGGCCCTGGAGCCACCTGTGACAGACTCCAATCTTAGAGTTATCTGTGGGTTAACTAGGCTGGGGCCTTGATTTATGGAGACTTGGGGGGCACATTGGCCATTAGGCCTGCAAGCTCACGCAGTTTCTTAGCCAAGTAAGTAAAGCAGGAGTTGCAAAAGTGATAAGAATTACAGTTAGCAATGAGCCATGTTTACCCCATTTTGATTTCAGCTCTACATTTTGTGTAGGGGATAATGAAATGATTGAACACTCAAAATAGAGCTAGAGGTGTAGAATGGCAGCTAAACACCCTGTCTGTGTGGCACCATCTGGAGGTTCTGATTGCCAGATCCTTCTGCCTGCACCCCTGGGTCTGTGGACCGTGCGGGGTGCAGTGTCTGGTGAGGCTCCTGCTGTGGTTGCGGCTGGACAGCGGCTCGCTTTCCCACTTCTTCCTCTGTGAGGCAGACCCAAAACCCCATTTTATACCTAAGCTCACGCAGTTAAAACACATCCAAGGGCCCACACCTGGAAAGGGACCCAGCCAGGATTCCACTCGAGGCCACCAAACCCACTCCAGACGGAATTCTTCTGCCTGTCGGAAGAGCCACCCAGCAGCTGTTGGCCATCGAGCCCTGCTGGGATGGGCTGCAGAGTGGCGCAGCTCCAGTTGTCTTGCTGCCTCTTCTCAGCATCCTTCCGGGTGACGATCTGCACTCACGTGGCCAGCGCAGCTCTCCAGCTTTCCGAACCCCTCCCCGGACTGCAGCTGGTTCCAAGTCCCCTCCTCTCCTGCCGCCTCCAAGTGGATTCCTTGTCCTTCATCCCCAGCCACAACCGTGGGCAGTTTTGTGCCACCTTCCTAATGCCAGGCACCCCCAGGCCTGCAAGCAGAGGGTGGGGGAGCTTTGGTAGCTGCAGGCTCAGTCTCCAGCGTCCTTGATGAGGGAGCAAGCGGGGATTCTGTCCCTGACCCCACCCTGCATTCCTGCCAAAGGTCTGCTGGAGATAGCATCCAGGGGCGAGGAAGAGAGAGCACACGTGAGCAGACCGGAAATCTCTCATTTGACTCTGATAGTCACCTAACTTTTAAAAAATAAGCTTTTTTTCCCCTAAGGAAAGTTGATACAACAGAAACTAAAACTAAAGATGACATGTTTTCCCAGTGCCGTCTGCGCTTCCCATGAATTCTCCATTTCAGATGTAGAGTTTGTTCTGTGTAACAATCCCTTTTACTGGATCTTGAGGTTACACCAACTCTTTGCCATTACAAAAGCCCAGAGAAAAATCATTCACTTTAGATTCCAAAAGTAAATTTTTACAAAGAAAAAAACGTCAAAAAAAATCTGCCAGAGAAAAAGAGACATGAGAAAGTTGCAAAATTTCCTAGTGGTACACCAAAATAATAGTAATTCTAAAAAAGCAAAATCCCTAGCAGATAAGGTTTGTTTTCAACCCAGTTTACCGAGTTAAATAGCATGCTGCCATCCAGATGTTACACTTCCTTTGCATTGTAAGCTTGAAAGCCTGACTCAGCGCTTCAGTAGAGTGATGCAATACCATGTGTCAGGACACGGGCACTAGTATTTATGATGTTTAACGTGATGACTGTGTTAGAACACTGCTGGCTGCAAAGAACAGAAAGTCACCTCTAATTTAGGGTAAAAAGGAAAAAATGTAGAAAGCTGCAGGGATAGATTGCATAATTCAACAAGAATTTGAACAGGGGAAGTGTAGAGATAGAGCTAGGCTTAACGTTCAAACAAAT